AATCCTAAGGTTTGTGGTTACATCTCCCCACTATTCTTTGTTCATTTTTGTACTTTGAACTGAAATGCATGTTTATATATGCAGATACATTATGAGACAACTGGTCCAGAGATCTGGGAGGATATGAGAGGCAAGGTGGACATTTTTGTTGCTGGGATTGGAACTGGTGGAACTATATCAGGAGTTGGTCGGTTTCTTAAAGAGAAAAATCCTAAAATTAAGGTAATATTTAAGATATGTGATTTTTGTCAGTCCATGCTCTTGTAAATGTTCTTCTGACCAATTTAAAATCTCCTATCATATTTAAGATAGATGGAAAAAGTGAATTTGTAGTTGATCCTAGTAATTAGTACTTGCCTACTTCTGCAGTTACATCATTTGACCATTATCATTTGTTTTTGGGATATATCAGGTTATTGGTGTAGAACCTTCAGAGAGCAACATACTTTCTGGTGGAAATCCTGGTAAGAATAACTGTTGAGCTGTAACCATCTTCATAGAATATCTGAAGGAGTTTGCATCTAATATATTTTTCTTTCCCATAAAAATACAGGTCCTCACAAGATTCAAGGGATTGGAGCTGGATTTGTACCTAGGAACTTGGATCAAGATTTGCTTGATGAGGTTTTAGAGGTCTAAATATTATTTTCCTTGTTTCTGTTTCTCCTTTTGCAAAATTGTGTCTGACCTCAGTAGTTGGCCTCATCATCAATGCACTGTAATATGTTTTCTTTCTTTAAGGAAAAGGCCAGTACTTATTGTCTTATATTTTCTTAGTTTAAGGTTATTTCAAAAGGTTCAACCCAATCAAAATGATTTGTTCCCTTGGAATTAAATCTGGCACAGAACTATTACATTCAAAATCTGTATAAAACTTGCTTCTTCTCCAAAAATTTGTTATAATTTAAAATCGTGCAAAGAAAATTTAATGGTTCAGTTCAGGGATTAGCAAGAGAGTGTAATTATATTTGAAAGTGTTTTGTAGCAAATAATTAAAATTGGTGTGGTTCAATGTGACAAGTTTACTTTGACTTATTGAAATGAAACTTGTTTTCCTATCTATCTGATTGAACAGGCAAAGCTGGGAAAAAAGGTGTAAATAAATTGATTCTAATTTAAGATTTCATGTTCTTCTGATGATAAGTTTTATATGTTTTTATTGCAAGCTGTTATTTTACAATATCCATGTTCTGATGGATTTGAATTTGACAGATATCCAGTGATGAAGCTCTTGAAACTGCAAAACAGTTAGCACTCCAGGAAGGCTTGTTGGTCAGTTCACTTTATAAAACTTAACAACCATGTTAAAATTTGCAGTGAAAGCAGAAGTAATCCAGTAATTGAAGCTCCACTTTAAGTCTTTGATGCATAGTCATGCCTCAAACCAGAAGTTAATGAATTTAAGATTGATAGGTGAGAAAAACACACAAAACAGATACACTCAACACTTGATGCTTTTGCTTTATTATTATTATCATTTGAATGTTTTGTGCAATTCATATCAGGTTGGTATATCTTCTGGAGCAGCAGCTGCTGCTGCTATGAAGGTTGGGAAAAGGCCTGGAAATGCTGGGAGGCTGATTACGGTGAGTTCTCTTGTGTCTGTTGATAGTAATGTGAAGTTTAATTGTCTTGAGCTGCAGTTTTGAAACTCAAAAGGCCCCATTTATGAAGAAGTATATATCAGATAGAACATGCTACCACCTTTGATACTTCAAGATTCAGGTAGATTTTAGGGAATCATAGATGCAATGAAGCATATATTGAAAACTTTTTAAAAACCAGGAATGACTGTTAAGACATTAAACCTTGGATCATATCGCTACTGTTATGAGAGGCAGGAGGAAAAAGCAAATTTCCTGTAGTTAAATGGTAAACCTTAAAGCAATGGTTAGGCCATGAAGCTGGGCGATCTGGTTTGTAGTTGCCTCACCTTGACTTAGATTTGTGAGACAAAGCACATTAGCATTTAATTTAAAATCATAACAACACTTTGCATATATCAGGCGGGGGTGTTGAAAGATCCTGTATTTTATTATGTGCCAAACTGATACCCACGTGTGTCAAGTTTGGGGGGCTATGTAGCCAGCTCACTTGATTTCACATGTTCTGTTAGTTCCTTATACCAAACCTTCTTTCTTTTCACGAGTGCATTTGCTTCATTTAGGGAAAAGATAAATGTTAAGTTGACATCACATTATAATGTTAAGGTAATATTATGCACGGTTTCTGTATGGCCAAAAGCAGCAGAGCTAATATAGTCTAAATCAGACCATGAGATTTTTTATCATTTTTCTGATTTGTTGAAATTGAAAAACTTGTAGAAACATATTAACTTACTTGATGCTGATAGTTTGGTCATGGACCACTTCTTTTAAAACATTCTAGTGGGATCATGGTTCCCACTATTAATGCTTACTAGCAATCTGGAGAATCAATTGCTTTCACATCTTCTTTCTGAAACCAATTAAATACATCCTTTTTGGTGGTAGTTGTAACACATGGCAAAACCATCCTCCCTTCTCATTACGTCAGTCAGCACGCTATGCTGCATAAGATGGAAACGACATATGTATAGTATCCTAGGCATCATTTATTGTTATATTCTTATAACATTGACTCATTTAGAAATCTAAATGCTTTCAGGTAGTGTTTCCAAGCTTTGGAGAAAGATACCTCTCATCTGTCCTGTTCCAGTCTATAGAGAAGAATGTAAGAAAATGCAGCCTGAGCCTTAAAAACCCTCAAATAATTTGTTGACACAGTAACTTTTTTTTTGGACCCTTGATGTTTGTTTTGAATCTCCACTTTGTGGCATTATAAAAGCTTTGATTGAAACTCCCATGTATCTATGTATTAGTTCCTCCACTTTGTCTTTGTTTCTGCAACATTAATTCAAAATCAGCCTTTTCTTTTTGGTCTATGATTCAATATTAGTTAAAATAATTGCAAATTACATATCGTTTACAGGAAATTTTGCTGCATTACAGGGATTACTGAGATGTAATACCGTCAATCAATAGAAAAATGACAAATTAAAAACCTCTACGTCCCATGATAATGCTCAGCACGACAATTCTACACAGAATTCACACCTTAATTAGCATAACATGAATTGTGATATGTGTAACACGAATTCAAGATATTACATCGAAGGTATGCATGTAACACAACATAATTTTTCCTTGAATACAGTAATAGTTTATGACGTAATTGACTTCTGTGTTTGTTTTCTTCTAGATGTAGGGTTCATACCAAATTCCAAAAGGGAATAAATTCCTAGCACTCATCTAGGGAAAAGGTATGCCTTTAGGTTCAATAAAAATTTTTGGATGGATTAAGATAATACTGGATAAATGTGCGTACTTGACCTAGAGGTCCAATGACATTAATCATTAAATAAATACATTTTTCTTTTTTTTGAGTGAGTTTTGAACCTATCTCATGTCAAAATGTTTAATATATATATATATATATACACTGGATGAAATGTGCTCTAATTCGGTCACATGTTACCTCCCACCTTTTTTCACAAAGAAAATTCATAGAAAACCAAAAGAAGAGAAGAGGTCTGCCATCCTACATCGAGCTTGGATTATAAAACAGCTGAGAGAAAAACTGTGTACTTTTTTTAATAACTAGCTTAGAAGTGGTTTGTAAGGATGTCTTTTTCCTCGGTTTGCTTGCGAATCTGTAACTTTTAAAGCATGACAAAAGCTGCCATAGTGGATGGATCAAAAGGAAGCTGCCATAGTGGACTTCCAAGCATGCAATGCATAAACAGAGGCTATAAATCTTTTCGGAAATCTCCATTTGACAATTGGAACCAGAGAAGCACATGCAACCTCAGGAGGAATCTTAATTGATAACAGTTTGGGGCTTTAACTTTTTATTTGGTTTGAAAAAAATAAAGGGTCCTCCCCTTTTTCTTTTTCTTTTTTTATTTGATTAGACTAAAATATGGAGGAAATTAACGTGAAATAAAGGAAAACCACTCCCCTCCCTTTTCCTTTAACTTTTCATTTTCCAAATAGAAAAATTTCTTCTCTTCCTCTACCATCTTCTCAAATGAACCAAGTTGTAAGTTATGGATTTTAAGTTAAAACTACAAAACATATGAAGAGAAATATAGTAAATAAAAGAGTTATCCTTTATCATATACCTCATTATTAGATATAAAAAAAATAAAAACAAACAAGCACATGCTTAAATAATGATCAAAAGCAGCAAGAAAAAAAAAAAAAGAATATCTATGCTACAGTCCAACCATATGAACAAGTTTTAAGTCAAAGGTTTCAAATTTTTAATTTTTATTTTCAAAATAATTACAAATGTGCAAGTAAATCCTGGAAAAAAAAAGAAAGTCTGAAATCTTAAGAAATTCCAAAATTTTCTCTCCAGCTTATTAGTTATTATATCATATTATCATGATAAATGATTTCTTGACAATATTTATAAGAAATAATTTATTGATAATAAAATTTTATTTCTTTTGTTTATTTTTAATAAATTTAATTTGATTTTTTAACATTTTAATTATAAATTTTAAATAAAAATTTAATAACTTATATAAATAATAATTAAAAAAATTTTTCTTTTTATATAAAATTTTTATTGAGTACTTTAATTTGATTTAAAAAAATTTTAATTATCATTTATATATATTAAATTTTTATATAAAATTTAAATTTAAAAAATTAAATAAATGTATTAAAAATAAACAAAAAAAATAATATAATGTGATGTAATTTTTATTAGTAATTCTTTTTAATTTAAATGTGACATAAATTGATATGTATCCCTAATTTAACGCCATACAAATATTGTGTGAAAATTAAACAGTCAAATCCCACACAACTTAACATCTTTTCCTTATATAATTTCGCCATAATTGGTACAACCCATCTTTTCAAAGTCTTTTGGGAACCTTCAAAACTGAACCAAGCTAATTTCTTATTCCTTTTTAACAATGCAATCCACATGCTTTATATGACAAATTGAGCTTCTTATTCCTAATTATGTGTGAAATTAAGGCTGGCTCTCGCAATCAAGACTTTTTTAAAATTCCTCTCTTATCTGTGTAAATATACAGAAAGTCTAGTCCACAGTGGAAAAGAGGTTTCCAGCTTTCTAGTTTCTACAGGTCAAGTTCCCTAACAAATCAAACAGACCGTCTCTCTTGTTTAGTAATTTAATGTGCCCTTCAGACATGGCACAGAGTCGCAAACAATAATCAACAACTTATTATATATATATATATATATATATATTTTAAGTTACTTATTGTACCATTTACATTATATTAAATTATTAAATAAAAAATAATTTTTAATATCAATATATACAATCAAACTGTACAATACCTTTTTAATATATCTTTTCTATCAAATTAATTAGTTAAAAAGTTTTGTTTAAAAGCACTAAAGCCTTCGAGCAGTAATAACAAAGTCATGTTAAGGTACATTTTTTTTTAGACAATGATTCAAATCCAATTTTTATAAACATGTTCAAAAAAAAAGTTTTGTTTAAAAATATTTCCTAATTGTTTTAATTTTTTGTCTTTTTATTATTTTAAAATAAATATTAAATATATTTTATATATTTTTGTGATATTAAAAAATTAAAAAATTTATCATTACAAGCAAGCTAGCACACCCAAACCAAGCCTAATTATCTTTTTATTTTCTAAATTTTTTATATCAGTCTAATTAACTAATTATATACCCCATCTTCTTCTGCAAATATATATATATATATATATACACACACGACAATTGGCTCCCAATAATATATTTGCTGTTCATCACAAGACACCATGGAGCCAACAATAGATCTGTCTTTCTCTACTACTTCTCCTCTATCCTCCTCAACTGGGTATTTTATTTTATTTCATGCAAAAATCCATCTCTTACAATACTGTTTTGTTATGTTCATTAAGTTCTTCCGACGGTCTTAATTGATACGTAATTTTTAATGCGATGCAGATGGTGGAATAAGGACACGGTGGCGGTGGTGACCGGAGCAAACAAAGGGATTGGATTTGCGTTGGTGAAGAGATTTGCAGAGGTGGGATTGACGGTGGTCTTGACGGCGAGGGATAGAGAAAGAGGAGAGAGAGCAGTTGAGTCATTGAAGGAGAAGGGACTCCATGGCGTTCGCTTCTTCCCTCTGGATGTATCCCAACCCGACTCCATCAAAACATTCGTCTCCTGGTTTGAAACACAATTCGGAGTCTTGGATATCCTGGTAAGTCAATATTTTTTTTTGGACATAAGAGAGTGAAGTGTTTAGTACGTATTATAAAAGTTTAAAATTTTAAATTTAAATCAAGATTTTTAGCTTAATAAAATCAATTTCGTTAGATTTTTATTAATTTTAATCAGTTGATATTTAGAAAGAAGTAAAGAAAATATTTTTTTAATATATTTGATTATGAATTATATTAAAATAGATAATTTTTTTATTTTTAAATTTATTTTCATTTGATTCAAAATTTAAATTTGAGATGTGTAATTTAAAATTTTAAAATTTTAACCTTTCAGTTATTTATAAAGAAAATTTATTGGCAAAACTGTTTACAATGTTTTCTTGCCCACTGATTCAGATGAGTCGATTATTACCATTTCGCACATGAGTGATAAAAAAGAAAGTCAATTATAAAATATATATCACGTTATATTTTGTCACACATGCCATTATTGTAAAAGAATATCGTACCTTCATTATTTTGAATAAAGAATATTTGGCATATTCACCAAGTAGACTGAGATATTTTTCATTTTTTCTGTTTTTAGTTTGACTGAGCAGAGCATCCGTAAATACATTTTGAATAAAGAATATTTGGCATATTCACCAAGTACACTGAGATATTTTTCATTTTTTCTGTTTTTAGTTTGACTGAGCAGAACACCGTGAATACATTTGTGGGCTGAGTTCTTCTTGTACTTTATTTTGTTTTAGCACAATAGTGCTTTTTCCTTTCCATAAAAAAAATCTTTTGTTCTGCATTTGAATTTCTGGCCTTAGTTGGCCTATGTTCATACCACAAAAGCCCAAAAATTTATGGCCTCTAAGCATCTAGACTTGAAAAAAACACCCTTCCTTCTCAATATTGCTCTGTTTAAAAAAAAAAAAAAGAAAAGAAAAAAAAGAACTAGCTAGATTAGGTTTGAGGTCTTTCTCTGATTTACTTTGAACATTCCATTCAATTTTGAGAGAAAGAAAAAGGTTTTCCAATGTAAAAGATACAAGTCCTAGTCAACCTTGAAAGATTCCATGAACTTGTTTTCTAATATTGTAATCGATTTTCACAATTCGCATTTCTTCACTACATCAACATTTAATAATAATAATAAATTATACATAATAAAAAATAATTAACTTCTCCACTCTTTTTAAAATTTAAACCCAAAACCTTCAATAAAAAAAAAGTTTAAGCTCTTTAACTAAGATATCCAAGAATTACAATGAGCTAGCTTAATGCTCTTAGAGCCTTAGTTTATTTAAACATTGTCATCTCCTTTATTAGCACATTTATATTTTCATTTATGTTCTTTTTAGTAAGATATTAATTTAGTTAAATTGAAACTATCCACGTTTGATTGCAGTGATATATATTATGGTCAACATAGGGTCTTTATTTTATTAGGTGATTATTCATCCTTTAAAAATAATATTATTCCAAGAAGCAGGAGACCTAACCACACAGGTATGAAGTCCAACGGTTGGACTAAGGAATCAACACTTAACTAATATAAAAATCTTAAAATGAAACCAAAATCAAAGTACCAATTTTCTGTCTTATATTTAATAATTGATTATGTTTTATAATAATTCCAATTTGGTTCTTATTTGTGCTCTATTGATAAGGATCCAATCCTAATCCTCAAATATCAACTTGGCATTCACATTTGAAATTCCCTACTACTTGACTATAAAATTGTTAAGAAGGGTGCTTGCTTCTATTTAAATGCATTGAAGTTTTTTTTTTTTTTGGTATATCTAATATATAAAATTGATTATATAAAAGAGAATAATCCTTTTTTTTTTTAAATTCCTCCTCAATGAACTCAAAATTTAAACCCAAGATCTTCAATTTAGAATTTTAGGTTATTAATGAGTTGAGCTACCCCCATCGAGCACATATTTGAAGTATTTTTATATTAGTTAGTTATATTATATGTCCTATATATCTTGCTTAGTTAATTAATTAAAAAAATATGGAATTAATTAATTTTTTAAAATTTTTTTCTTTCAGGTAAACAATGCTGCTGTATCATTTAATGACATCAACCAGAACTCAGTTGAGCATGCAGAGACTGTCATCAAAACCAATTTCTTCGGATCCAAGATACTCACTGAATCCCTCTTGCCCTTCTTTCGCCTTTCACCTTCTATTAGCCGAATTCTTAATATTAGCTCAAGACTTGGCTCAATTAACGTAAGTAGTAAAATTATGGAGACCAATAACTGATAATTGATAATTAATATTTGATATTTTGTTATTGTTTATAATTTAGAATTAATATTTAATCTATTTAATTAAAGTCAATAGATGATAAGTTGTTTATAAACACTAAACTAAACACCTCTATATATGATTTTGATGATCAAGCTAAGAATTAATTAGATTAATTTCATTATGCATGCAGAAAATGAGAAACCCTAACATAAAAAGTATCTTGCAAAGCAAGAAACTTTCCGTGGAACAAATTGAGTGGGTGGTTAATTGCTTTTTGGAGGATGTGAGGGGTGGGACGTGGGAGAGCCGAGGGTGGCCGCAGGTATGGACAGACTATGCAGTGTCAAAGCTGGCGCTGAATGCGTATGCTAGAGTTTTGGCCGGGCGGTATGAAGGACGTGGATTGAGTGTGAATTGCTTTTGCCCTGGCTTCACTCAGACGGCCATGACTGGTGGCAGGGGCACGCATACTGCGGATGATGCCGCGCAGGTTGGGGTTAGGCTGGCCTTGCTTCCTCCTGAGGAGTTACCAACTGGGAAATTCTATATCGGGTTTGGCTCATACAGCCAGGCTAAACTATAAACACATGACATATTCCATAAATCATCATTTCCTTAGTTTTCCACTTGAAATTGAATGTGCAATTAAATATGTTCTAAAAACATGTAATTGATCAAAAAAAAAAAAAATGTAGTTGATCTGGAAGAATCAGATTTCCGCTGGCACTACGGTCAATAACGTGTCTAATCAGCTGCTCTCCATTTTGCTTGGAAAATTTCAATTCATGAATCAGTGGAATTTGGAGGCGTCTTACATGGCTTAATAAATTTTATTTAGTAGACCATTGACTTTATTTTTTAAAATATAAAAAATATAGTTAAATAAATTTTTTTAAAAGAAAAGTGTAAGAGAAGTTCATTGAATACGATAAAAAAAAAAATAGTAGGTGTGGGTTTGACTATAGTATGTATTATACATATAAATGAAAAACTCCATTTTGCTTGGAAAATTTTAATTCATGAATCAGTGGAATTTGGAGGCGTCTTACATGGCTTAATAAATTTTATTTAGTAGACCATTGACTTTGTTCTTTAAAATATAAAAAATATAGTTAAATAATTTTTTTTAAAGAAAAGTGTAAGAGAAGTTAATTGAATACAATAAAAAAAAAAAAGTAGTTGTGGGTTTGACTATAACATGTATTATATATATAAATGAAAAACTGTTATGCAATTTAAATTATACAATAAAAATCATTAAATAAGTGACAAATATCATAATATTAAGTATCTTTTCTCTATCTTCTCATTTTTATGTTGAGTTTGGTGCAACCTGAATTGCAAGATAAGGAACTCATATATCTACATATTGTATATTGTACTCCTATATTCTTGTTCTAACTTCATACTCATACATACTTTCCATTGTCTATTTTCCAAAAAAAAAACTTTATACGTACTCTACACACAAAAAACCAAAAAAGAAAAAAAGGAGTGGCGGCCTTAAAAAGAAGCCCAATAAGCCAAGTTGGGCTTCGTAGCAAACTTTCAGCCCATCAACGTTGTCGTATCCGGTCCGGTGTCTTAACTTGTCTCCGGACGGTGGGTACGGAGATCCAATTCAGAGAGCAGAGCAGCAAGCACTACAATCAGGCGATTTCTAGGGTTTTAGAGGGGTTTACGGTTGACCTCATTTCTCTGTTCAACAATACCAGGTTCGTTTCTCTTCGCTCTATTAATTTGCTTGGATCGTCTTTTCTCTCTTCTTTTTTCTTTCTTTTTTTTCCCCCTCTGTTTCTGAATTCGTATATTAATGTTCCTCATCTTATTTTTCCCTTTCTTTTAGTGGGTTTTAGTTTTCAATACAAGAATAGTAGAGCAAAATTGTAGGATGGAATCTTGGGGAATGTTTGCATCAAAAGTTGCTAAGATGTTTGGGGAGAAAAACTCGAAACAAATTTTTAAAAAGCTGGTTCATTTGAGATACAATGAGTTACTTGACTTGATGGTTGATAAAATAGGGGGTGATCAGTAGGAAAGACACCAGCTTTGCTCTTGCTTTAAATTGGGTGTTAGTTTGTCAATGCAATTAGCTAAAGATATAGAGAGATGGTAATTGTGTTAATTCCATCTACATTAGATTATTATTATTATTATTATTATTTTGGTATGATTTAATCCTGTAGGCAAAAATTTATGTCTAGAGCAATAGTTCAGTAGCTGTTATGGTTTGCGAGCATAACTTTTAATTCTTTACTGTCCCTTAAGTTGGTAATTAAACAACTTAAAACATGAGTTTTGCTATTGTGAGAACTGAAAGCATCATGGAGACGGAAATGGGTTAAAAAAACAATGGAAAATTATTTGTGCCAATTGGGGATAAGAGAAGCTAGTTGGAGCAGATGGCTATCTCTTAAGCAAACCTACTGATAATTTTAAGTCTGGTTGGAGTATGTTTTCATACCAATGAATATGGATTGTTCTTCTCTTTCAGTTACAAAAGTTGTTTGGCAATATTTAAGTTTGCCAGGAATATAACTAACTATTTCCCAACCTAGGCCTTTGATGTTATTTGTTTGTCTGTCATTATGTACTTATATTTTTTCAGTTTAAACATGAGTTGATCACTTGATCCTAAGCATAGCCTTGTCTTGTTGATATTCCAATATTATTGCCAGCAAGATGTCTTCTGTGCAAACCTTTGACATGTTAACATGGTATGCTTACCATTACTAATTCATGTCATGCATATTTGCCAATAACATTCTAGATTTAATCTCTACTCTGGTACATTTAGGTTCCCATACTGAAATGAAACATCTTACACACGACACTTTTGCCATCCTCCATTTAATCATCATCATATGTTAAGCTAAATATATAATGTAAAGCCATCAGAGTGGGTTGCAGTCACATAAATAAGCTTTGGAAGTTGGAACCTCCTAAACCTATCCAGGTTCTCTAAGTATTTCAGG